TCTTTACGGCAATGGGCCAGACGTCTTTACGGCAATGGGCCAGACGTCTTTACGGCAATGGGCCAGACGTCTTTACGGCAATGGGCCTGATGTCTTTACAGCAATGGGCCTGGTGTCTTTACAGCAATGGGCCAGATGTCTTTACAGCAATGGGCCTACGTGCTTTCTGTATATATTTTCTTAATTTTTTTGACCCATGAATTTTTAAACTTTAAATTTGATTTTTCTTCATACAAATGTTGTAAATATGTTTCTGTATGGGGTGCTAAAACGGGACCTTTCACTGTGCACCTGTGGGAATTAATACTGAAATGTGTTACAGCAATTTACTGCCATGTAAGGGTGTCAGTATAGTGGTACATAATATGTGATAATGGTACAAAGTCAGTGGCTTTTTCAGAGAAGAACAGGTCAGCAATGTTGATTCAAACTGTCTTTGATCATAAAGACAAATTAAAAATGATTAAGCATCTGCTGTCAGCGCTGACCGAGCCCGGCATACAGACCACAATGGATGCAGAATAAATTTTTTTAATAATGTATACCACATTCACTAATCCGCTGGTGCTACCCTGAATAATAATGCGGATTCCTGCACAAATATCTACATCTTTTCTTCATTCATTTATCCCTGCAAATATGTCCACTTTCTGGAGCCCGCAGCACCGTTACATAAGCCCGAAGGGATGTAGCCAGCATGCAGAGACCCCAAGCTGTCACTAAATGTTATTCTCACATTTTGCAAACGAATTAACATGGGGAGAGCAGGGGGCAGGGTGTGTTTGCAGACACAACGATGAGAAACCATTCGGTCCTTCTCTGTATTCTGCTTATCAGGCGTACAAAAAATACACTGTACATAAAGTTTGAGCAATGTGGTGGAGTGCAGTGTGGTGGAGTGCAGTGTGGTGGAGTGCAGTGTGGTGGAGTGGCGCCACTGCTCTCACGGACGCCCACTCCTGCCAGATGACACTCCCGTCTGCTGGGCACCACGCGTCGCATGAAGCCACGTCCGGCATTACAGCCCTGAAACATTGTGTAACTTGGAGGTTTAACCACGTCGCTGCTGGTATGTACCCAGGAAACGGAACTGTCCACTACCATTTCCTGTAATAACACGTGTTATCACTGAGTGGAGATACTGTGTAGTCCTGGCCAGTCTGCCCCCTCTTCCCCCCAACGATGCAGGTGACCGCATGGGTCCCGCCCACCAGGTGCCACATGTGGACAATGTCGCGTTTCCCCTCATTACGTTTTCGGTGATCTGGGTCACCAGCTGTCGAGGGTGGGCAGCTTCCACTGAAACAGGCAGCGTTGCATAATTTTACAATTCATCAAAATAACGGCCTTAAACAGAAACACAGTCCACTGCCAGTTGGCTAATGCATATA